TTCTGTATTTTTTAAAAATAAAAAAATTAGCCAGGCATGGTGGTGCATGCCTGTAATCCCAGCTACTTGGGAGGCTGAGGAAGGAGAATTGCTTGAACCTGGGAGATAGGTTACAGTGAGCCAAGATCACGCCATTGCACTCCAGCCTGGGTGACAGAGGAAGACTCTGACTCAAAACAAAGAAAGAAAAAAGAAAAAAGAAAAAAGAAAAAAAAAAAAAAAAAAAAAGCCATAAGATGGAAAGGAATGGGAGCAACTGCTTACTGAGGACAGGTTTTCCTTTAGGAGTGCTGAAAATGCCATGGAACTAGAGGTGGTGGTTGTGCCACACTGTGAGTGTGCCAGATGCTCATTCGTGCAGCCACTACCTCTGTCTGAGCAATGGTTGTATAGTATGTCCATTTCACTTCAATTTTTTTTTTTTTTTTTTTTTTGAGACGGAGTTTCGCTCTTGTTACCCAGGCTGGAGTGCAATGGCACGATCTCGGCTCACCGCAACCTCCGCCTCCTGGGTTCAAGCAATTCTCCTGCCTCAGCTTCCTGAGTAGCTGGGATTACAGGCATGCACCACTATGCCCAGCTAATTTTTTGTATTTTTAGTAGAGATGGGGTTTCACCATGTTGACCAGGGTGGTCTCGATCTCTTCACCTTGTGATCCACCCGCCTCGGCCTCCCAAAGTGCTGGGATTACAGGCTTGAGCCACCGCGCCCGGCCTCACTTCAATTTTTTAAAAAGGACAATGAAACAGTTTCATGGCAGGCTAGAGGGGAGAATGTGTTCTGGACACCCACCACAGACCAGGCCCAGAAAGCAGCCTGAGGGAAGGCTGATGGTGGAGGGGGCAGGAAGGGAGAGGGCAGTCCTGCCTGGCCAAGCTCTGAACAGACGCCAACCCCACGCTGAGCCGGCCTGCAGGAGGCTGCAGCCCCGGTCCCTGCCTCCCACTCCAGAGCACTCTGCAGGGCCCGCTCAGGAACAGTCTTGCTCAATTCTGGCCTGAGTGCATGTCCTAACGTCAACCACAAGACAGTCCGAGCACTTCCAGTAAGTGTAAGAGTTACTGCAGGGAGCGTGGCCAGCGGTGGGTTGGGGGGTGTCCCACTACCACAGGCCCCAGGTGATCACCCTGGATGCACAACAGCAGTGCAGGCCGGCCCACAGCGGGTTTCTGTTCATTCTGCAGTGCTGGGTGCTCCTGTCCCTAGAGGCTGACAAGTCTTCAGGATCGGGGGCAGGGAGACTGGCCAATACCTGTCTCAGGTGCTGTGAAGCTAGAACGGGGGACCCAGCCTCGGTAGGGAGCTCAGGGAAATCCTGGGAGGGACTCTGGGGCCCAGGCATGAGGAGTAGCAAACAGCGCGTGCAAGGCCAGGAAGCAGAGGCTCTCAGTTCAGAGGAACTGAAAGAAACCTGGTGAAAGCTTGGCCCCCAGCATGGAGAGCTGTGGCTGTGTTGGGGGCCAAGCTTCCTGCCAAGCTAGCAGACCAGGAGGCCTCTCAGACCCGGGACAGGCCTCCAAGCGGCTGCCCCAAAAGTCCCCTGAATGCACTGCAGGAAGGTGTTGAGAAGAGCAAAGAAAGAGGGCTGAGCAGGAAGGGGCTACCCCCATGGCCAGTGGGGAAGAGGGACCCAAGAGGACAGAGCGAGCAGAGGCAGCTCACTCAAGGCTCTGCAGTAGATGCAGGGAGGGCCCCGGAGGCCTTGGTTTCACTGGAGGAACTGGAAGAGGAGCGGGCATCTGTGTGGGGCTCGAAGAAGAAAGGCATTCTATTTTTCTTTGTCTTCTACAGATCCACAATTAAACGCAAGATACTAGAGAAGACATTTGGCCAGGCACGGTGGCTCATGCCTGTAATCCCAGCTCTCTGGGAGGCCGAGGTGGGCAGATCATTTGAGGCCAGGAGTTAGAGACCAGCCTGGCCAACATGGTGAAACCCCATCTCTACTAAAAATACAAAAACTAGCCAGGCCTGGTGGGAGGTGCCTGTAATCCCAGCCACTCAGGAGGCTGAGACAGGAGGATCACTTAAACCTGGGAGATGAGCCGGGCGCGGTGGCTCAAGCTTGTAATCCCAGAACTTTGGGAGGCGGAGGCGGGCGGATCACGAGGTCGAGAGATCGAGACCATCCTGGTCAACATGGTGAAACCCCGTCTCTACTAAAAATACAAAACATTAGCTGGGCATGGTGGTGCATGCCTGTAATCCCAGCTACTCAGGAGGCTGAGGCAGGAGAATTGCTTGAACCCAGGAGGCAGAGGTTGCGGTGAGCCGAGATCGTGCCATTGCACTCCAGCCTGGGTGACAAGAGCGAAACTCCGTCTCAAAAAAAAAAAAAAAAAAAAAAAAAAAAAAAACCCTGGGAGATGGAGGCTGCAGTCAGCCAGGACTGTGTCACTGCACTCCAGTCTGGGCAACAGAGTGAGACTCCATCTCAAAAAAAAAAAAAGAAAAAAGAGAAGATATTCACTAATATCAACGCAAACTTCCAAATAAAATGCTCATTTTGAATGAGGAAGGTTGAGTTTGCTTTTTGATACTTGGTTTTACACATGACAGGGGCTCTTTATTATTTTTTGTGGAGATGGGGGTCTCCCTATTTTGCCCAGGCTAGTCTCAGACTCCTGGCCTCAAACAATCCACCCACCTGAGCCTCCTAAATAGTTGGGATTACAGGCGTGGGCCACCGCACCCAGCCTTGCCAGGGATTCCTGATGAGATGTTTGACCCCGATTCTTCATGGTAGCGCCTCTAGTCTCCCTAAAACTTGGCTGAGTGCTGTTGTCCAAAGGACAGGCACTAGGAATGAAAGGAAAGACAGATCAGGGAATGATGCCGTTCGCACCAGCCACAGCCGCAAATGTGGCAGACACGCACCTGTCGCCTCCGTGGAGACTCGCTGGTGGCCACCACGTTCGGATGCGGACTTGTCCACCTAACACCTCCCTGTCTCCTCCGACATACTGGAGAAGAGGTGCCCAGGACTTCCCAACCGCCTAAGCCTTCTCACAGCAAGTGATTTCACAGTGACCTTCTACCAGTTCTCAATTTTATTTAGGACTCAAATGAACACCAACCAAACATATCACTAAATCACTTATTTTCACATTTTCAAAGTTGGATTGCACTGCAAGTCCATACATTTGTGCTCACTACACATTTTTTATTATGGTCATTGAGAGGCTCCAAAGCATCAGTCCAATAAACATTTTTCCAGCCCGATAAGCATCCTTCATAAGAACTAAGAGGTAAAATTATTCACACAACTATTTTTTTCCTTCAATGCCTAGCTCATAGCTTTTGACCAAACATCAGTGTTTTGTCAGTGTGCTGTCTGTGCCTCGTCACAGGTCATGTGTCTGCAGGACCCAGTATCCACTGACTTGGCTTCCTTGGTCCCAAGCAAAGGTGCTGCGAGTTCCACCGTTTGGTGAAATGATTGAGTCTCAACTGTGGGAGGCATTTTGTTTTTAGCAATGAATCACATGACATTGTACCTAACTTCTCAAGCACAATCTGATACTAGGACGGTGAAGGTAATTTTTAAAAACTCTTTATACCGGCCGGGCGCGGTGGCTCAAGCCTGTAATCCCAGCACTTTGGGAGGCTGAGGCGGGTGGATCACAAGGTCAAGAAATCGAGACCATCCTGGTCAACATGGTGAAACCCCGTCTCTACTAGAAATACAAAAAAAAATTAGCTGGGCATGGTGGCGTGTGCCTGTAATCCCAGCTACTCAGGAGGCTGAGGCAGGAGAATTGCCTGAACCCAGGAGGCGGAGGTTGCAGTGAGCCGAGATTGCGCCATTGTACTCCAGCCTGGGTAACAAGAGCGAAACTCCACCTCAAAAAAAAAAAAAACAACAAAAAACCTCTTTATACCAGATTATTTTTCAAAGTCCATACTTTTCTACCTAACATAGAAGTTGTAGGGTGAAGAGCCTGTGAGGCTTGTTTGGCACTCCTGCTTTATTTCATAATTTCTCCATGCAAACAAGACATTTAGGCTGAGAGAGAGACTCAGCAAGAATCCAAATGAGCGAGGCACACTGGCTCACACCTAGATCCCAGCACTTAGGGAGGCAGAGGCGGGAGGATTGCTTGAGCCTGGGAGTTCAAGACTAGCCTGGGCAACATACGAAGACTACGTTCTCTACAAAATGGGAGAAAAAGAACAAAAGAATCCATGTGAACCCAAATTTGAGGCAGGAGCTATACTGCCTCATCAGTGGTCATTTGGGTTTTTTGGAACAGTGTTGGTCTTGTGAGTTTGATGACATTCTGGATTTAGTGAAAATGTGAGAAAGTTAATAACTGTAAAAGTTAAATTGATTCCTGGACAGTGGGAAAACCGGGGCAGTCTCAGTAGGCCTGTGGTTTAGTTAACAGCATTGCACCGCTGTTCATTTCTTTGTTTTGATATTGACATCAGGGGAAGGTGAGGTTGCATGGAAACCCTGTGCCGTCTCTGCAACTCTTCTGCAAATCAAAAATTACTTCAAAATAAAAAGGTACAAAATAAAAACTAAATTATTAAATACAAAATACTCAAGGAGACTGCAAAGGCTTTATGGGTTCAGAAAGTGGATAAGAGAAATATGAAGGCCTTCTGAAATCTTCAAAATGTTTTAAAACAAATTTCACTGAAAAACTCAAAAAATGAAGCATGTGGCTTACAAAAATAGAAAGAAATTAAAATACTTCAGTTCATTAAAACTCTAAAAAAAAATTCAAGTACAAATGACTTGCTCTCATAAGTTATTTTGCTGAAACAGATTTTCTGAAGCCCTAAAGGCATGTCATCTGCTTTAATGAATTCATTTAACAAACTATTTTCAATTAGGTTCAATTTTTGTTTTAAAAATAAATGTTAAACATTTATTCAGCACAAAGCAGTCTATTAAAAAAATCAAAAAATAAATGTTTAAATCTTTCTAAAAACAAATGATAATTCATTATGTAGTTTCATCAAATTTTAGCTTTTTGTTGTTGTTGTTGTTAATAAAGAATGGCTACTTCATAGGCAGACCAGCCACTTTTGGCTAATTTTTAACATCCAAAGCTAATAAATAATCAAGAAGAAATAGAGAACATTAACAAAATAAATTATGTTCTATTTTAGAATGCCTAGTATCAGATAATAACAAGTACTATGATAAGAATAAAAAAGAAATAATCATGTATGCCTTCTAGGTTAGTAGAAAAGTTAGGAAAAGATGTTAAATTTAAAGAAACAATATTTTGCATGCACACACAAAACAAAGAACTTCGCTCATGATGTGGAAATCATGACCCAGCAGCAATCCTTCCTCCTGGTCAGGATCACTGGGACGGGCCGGACAGGGCCCCCTGGGCAGCCAGGCAGAACCTGCTGGACTTAACTCGCCAGAGAAATCACCAACCAGTTCAGGAAGTTTGCAGAGGGAAACCTACAAATGGTCCTCAGATGTGACTTCCCTGCTCCTGGAGAGCTCCCTCTGGAAGAGCTTGCAGTGTTCCAGCTGTAAAATGTGGGTGAGCACTGCAGTGGGCAGCCTCTCACACTCACTTGGCTACAGGCCCAGGAAGCCCCCGGAGGCCCCTGTGGCTGAAGACACCAGACTTATGGAGACCAGACGCTCGGACTCCTGGAGTTGACACAGCAAGACCGTGTGTAATGAACACCAACGCCGGCGGTACAGACAAGGCCTTGGGGGTGGCTCAGAGACAGGGGCTTGGAGGGCTGCAGCGCTCCGGGACGGATGAGTGGCACCTTTCCTCCCGTACCTCTCCCAGTGAGAGGGATTCACACCTTCCCCTCTGAGCCTCTCAACAGTCCCGTGAGGAGGACTGCAGGGCAGGGGGACTGGCCCCATTTCACAGTTGGGGAAACTGGGTTCCAGATAGGTTTGTCAGCTTGCCTGAAGCTACACAGGGTTCCAGGTTCTTCCTCCTGCACCACTGTGGGCCCAGTCAGAGGCTACATGAGCAGATGGTCAGGGAAGGCTGAAAGCCCACGGGAGGAGCAGGCAACGGTGTGGGGATGGACAGCAGCATAGTGCAGGGGACCCCCAGTGGCACTGGCTAGAGGCCAGCAGGGATGGGGTTGGGGGCAGGACTGCTGGCACCTGTGTCTGTGACCCAGGCCTCCACAGTCCCAGACAGCCACTTGGGTCTCTGCTTCTCCCTTCTTCCCTCGGTGGTGTCCAGACTCTCAAGACCAGCTGAAGAAGATCACAAGGTGGGGGGCTGCCCCCTGCAGTACCCAGAGGCAAGGCCTCCCTTGGTGTCTACTTGCATCTGGCCAGCGCAGGGCTCAAGCAGGGCAGGGGCCCAGGGGCCCAAAGACTGTCAGGTAAGAGGCGCACAGAAAACCCTGACATGTGGCCAGCCACAGCACCAGGAGAGGGACAGAGGGAGGACATGCATCCATGCAAGGTGGCTGAGGACCTTGGTACCGTGTGGCCAGGGCCTTGGACGGTGCAGGGCAGAGAAGCAGCTGGGGCTGGACAGAGATGAGCGTGCCACAAAGAGAGGTTTGGACATGACCCTGGGCCCCAGGTCACTGCAAAGACAAAGAGGTAAAATGGGCGGCCACAGAGGCTGCAGGAGCTCAGGGAGGCTGGAAGGGAGGGGCTGAGAAGCACCCTGGGTCCCGGCTTCTCTGGGCAGACCCCTGGAAATGGAGCTTGCTGGTCTGAGTCGGTCCCTGGTGGCCTCTCCTGTGGCCACCTCTTCAGATGGGAACACGCAGGGAGGCCCAGCAAAAGCTTCAGGCTCTGCAGAAACACAAGGACATGTGACATCCCCTCCAGCCCCCACCCTCTCTGAGGGAGGAGCCCAGCACAAATCCCCCCCTCTTCTCGCCCAGCAGCTCCCAAATGCAGCCCAGGGGAGCCTCAGAGCTGGCCAAGAAGGGTGACTATGAGAGCTGGCCAGGAGGCCTAGGGACAGAACTGGGGCAAAGGCCTGGAGCAGGGGGTGGGGTCCCACCAGGTGGCAGGCCCAAGGGTGCCAGTCTCTTCTTAGGATCTACGCTGGGATTCAGTCGCCAGCCAGACAGGCTGCAGGGCCCTGCTGGGGAGGGCGCGATGCTACTCGGCACCAGCAGGGGGCACCACGAGCCCACCCCTGCCAGCACGTTCCCGCTGCCGTTCCGCTCCCACCCCAGGGGCTCCGGCTGCAGGAGAGGCTCAGGGGTGGCAAGATCCAGTCACTCCCAAGGCCTGGGGCTCAGGACGCCTCCACGGAGGAGGAAGGTGCTTTCTACGCCAGCTCTGGGTGGGGCTGGGAGTACGGCAGCCCCTCCAGCTCTGATCCCAGTGCAGGTGGACTGGGGAAGCCCAGCGCAACCCCGGGTAGAGGCAGCAGCAGGTCTGGGCAGTGCTAGGCTCAGCCATGGGGCCCTGTTGTCCCCGGATCCCGCCCACCACATGGGGGTCTCATCTGCTCTCTGCTGCCTGAGGCGGCAGCCCAGCCTCCGGCTCGCCACCCCACCTTGGCTCAGTCACGGTGGCGCAGGCTGTCACTGGGTGTCAGGGTCCTGGAAGCCCCAGGCCTCCACGGCAGCAATGAGGAAGTTCTCGGAGCAGAGGGGCTGGTTGTTGAAGGTGTCGCAGTGGCTTGTACGGCCCCGGTTCAGGTCCCCATCGATGTAGAGAGCCTGGCCACCCCCTCCCCCTGCAGGATGTTCAGGTCAGTGGGCCCGACTACCCCATCAGCACTGCCCCAGGCACCTCACCTCCTGTCCCAGCTGTCCTCCCCTGCACAGGCCTCTGAAACCATACAGACCCTTGACCCTCCATAGCCCCCAGGACCAGCTGTCCAGGCTGGTCTCTCCCTCCCAGCCCCCTTCTACCCATGGTGCCTGGTCCATCCCTGACACCCAGGGCCTCTTCTCTGCCACCCCGGTCAGGGAGGGCTGGGTGCAGTGGCTTCAGCTGCCCAGTCCCCCACACCCTCATCCCAGGGCCCCATCTGCTGGCGCTCACCGATGATGAGGCAGTCGCTGCCCCCGGCCATGAACATGGACTCGGTCTTGGAGGGCAGGTTGAAGTGGCGAGTGGCCAGGAAGGGCGAGAGGCGGTCGGCGGGGTCTGAAGAGGTGGAGTGGCTGAACGGGGCGTTGGGCTCGGCGGCCATCAAGGGCGTGGGCTTGGTCAGCTCGGGGTGCTTAATCACCACCCACTCATATCGCTGCACCTCAGGCTGCAGCTGGGGTGGAAGGGCAGTGTGAGGAGCTGGCGAGGGCACCCACAGGCCCCTCTGGCCCAGAGCCACAGCCCGTTATCCCGAGAATCTGCACCCAGAGCCCAAGGTGGGCACAGCCCAAGCCAGAGGCCAGGGAGGTGGTGGCTCAGGCAGATAAGGCCCCCTGTCCTGGAGCAGCGCGAGGCTGAATGATCAAACCCAGAAGCATGCAGGGTGATGACGCTGCTGGGTGACTGCCATGGTGACAATCAAACAGGGTCCCCAGGGCAGGCAGGCACGCCCGGGGGGATGAAGCTGCAGAGTCTACACAGGGGCTGCGGAGCACTTGGGCCCACTCACCCTAAACACAAAGCATTCTCCGGTTCCAAAGAAGCCCAGTTTGCCTCCAAACTTATTTCTCTCGCTCCAGTCTGTGGAGAGGTAAGCGCCACACACCTGGGGGAAAGGCCCAGGTCAGGCTGTGCCCGCAGGCCTCCAGGAGTGTCCCTGTGCTCCAGCCTGCTTCAGGGCCCATCCCAGGTCACAGGTGGGGTGCAGGCATCGCCGTCTCCTACTCCCACCCCAGGACAGGGGTGGTGTGGGAAAGGCAGCGCTGGGGGTGCGTGCACCCTGCCTCTGGCTTGGAGCTGGCAATGAGGGTGGGTGGGGCTATGTGGGGACGAGTCTCATTTTCCCCGCGGCCCTCAGCGTGGGATGAGCCCCATGTGCTGCCAGTACCCACGCTCTGACTCTGGCTCCAGGCTAGGACGCTGAGGCCCTGGAGCCATCAGAGCCAACCTTGACTCCCAGGGCCCTTGCTCACCTCCTTCTGCGTGGTCTTGATGAGCAAGAGGGTAGGCTCATGTCCTTCACACTGGAAGTAGAACCTGGCATAGAGACACGCATGCCAGCTCTCACCCTACACACCCTCCCTGCCGCCTCCTGCAGCCTCTGCTGGCCCTGGCTATCTTGGGGCGGAAGACCCGGGAGCCGCTGCTTTTCTCTGGGTCCCGACAATGCCCTCACCCAGGTGTTCCTGCCTGGCCCTTCTCTGCCATCCCCAGGACAGCCTGCCCAGGTGTGACTTGGGGGAGAGGCTTTGCAGTGGAAGGCCAAAGTGAAGAGCCAAGTGCTAGGGGTTGGGGAAGCAGGAACCAGAGGAACCGGTCCCCACAGTGGGGAGGTCTGGCCCATCCTCACAGCCCAGGCATGTGGGAGCCAAAGAGGCCTGGGTCTGCCAGCGTGGCGCCCAGAGCTTGGCTGTGGTCCTTGGCAGGGCTGGGAGAAGTGGCTCCAGCTGTGCCGAAATGCTTGCGGTGTTACGAACCTGTGAACGGTACCAGGTGGGGGCTGGACCAGCTCTGCCTGCCTCACCTCCAGGTCACCCCAGGGCCAAGCCAGAGCTCCCATGGCCACATGCTGTCCAAGACTAGAGGGAGCCTCCTGGCTGCACCTGGCAGCACCGCCCTGGAGGGCAGCATGACCTGGGGCCCTGACAGAGCGCCACGTGGATGACAGGGCGGGGGGCAAGCACGGCTGGGGCCTGCCGCCCATGTGGTCCCTCCAGACAATATCGTGAGCTCCAAGGTGGGGATTCTGCCTCCCGCGTCTTCACGACGCCTGCATGGCCTGAGCTGTGGCAAGCCTGGCCATGACCCCCAAAGTCTGGGTGGCCTGGGGAGGACAGAAGCCCAGAAAGGGACCCTGATTCTCAGGCCCCACAGGAAGAAGCAGGGTCTCAGCAGGTACCCAGGGCTGAGGCCCATTTCCTGAGTCTGCGGGCAGGACATGTGGCTGGGCAGCCCCTTGGGGTGTTACCTGGCCAGGCTGTACCCGTGCTGCAGGGAAGAGAACAGCAGAAGGGGCTGGCACAGGGCAAAGCGCTCAGGGACCCAGGACCAGATGTCTCTCATCTCCCTCACGCTGACGATCTCCGAGCGGAAGTTCTCTGCATGGACGGCCAAGTGTACAAACTGCCTGAGGGGAGCGAGCGGGGTCAGAGTCCGAGGGCACGTCCAGGGCCAGGCCATGCCCCCCGAGGTGTGCCCCAGAGCTCCTTTGAAACTAAGTCCGGAGGGAACTTCTCGCCTGCTTGTGTGTGTTTAGGATCGGGTTCTAGATGCCCAACAGGGAGAAAGTTCCCAGAAGCCCCACCTCCCACCCATTACAGAGGGAGAGTGCCCAGCCTGGATGGGGACAAAGCACCTTTTCTCTAAGAAATCAGGACAGAGTGACTGCTCTGGCAAGACAAGGCTTCATGGCAAGCCAAGCACCGGCAGATAGCACAACAGAGGCAGACAGGCAGGCAGGCAGGCAGACAGACATACAGACAGACAGACAGAAGGTGCCTGAGCATCAGTCGGGCTCAGAGGCAGCACTGCTGAAGCCGGCCCGCGAGAGCAGCCCTGGGACCCAGAGCAAGCAGCCGGCCTAGAGTCAGCCTGGTGGAAAGACAGAGGCCAGGCGTGCAGACGCGGTTTCAGACCTACCTTTTAGAAAGTGACACACTGAAAAACAGGAGAAAGCAATGGACATGGAGAAGAAAAATAAAACAGACAAGGAGAGATTAGTGTAAGTACCGATCCCGGACAGGCCTTCGCTGGCCCAGAAGAAAGAGGACTGCACGCCAACAGGCCGCAGCGTGGCACTGTCACAGCGCCGGCTACCGAATGGACACAGAACACCATGAACCCCTGACCCTGCTCCCCTGGTGCTGTGCTCCAGGAGGGGAGGCCACGCCCATCAGCCACAGCAGAGGCCAGCCACAGAGCCCAGAGCTGGAGGGGCGGAGCAGGGGCTGCCCTGAAATGACCCTGGGAGTGGGCCTGGCCTCCCACAATGCCTTCTGACCCCAGGGCCAGCATCAGCTTTCATCTCGGCTGTGGGCCTGGTCCCAGAGGATAGGACCCGACATCCCTCGTCTGTGGCTGTAACCGGGAAGGCCCTTCCTGTTTCAGTGTCTTTTCAGCCATGCACAGATGTCCGGGTGGACCATGGGCAGAGGCTGCTGGAGGCCAGCTGGATGAGCTCATGCCAGACACGTCCCGCCCCAGCCCCTGACCCTGGGCGGGTCCCTCGCAGCCTGCCGGGGACCTACCTCTTCTGCTTCACGGTGATGCCCTTCTGCTTCAGGGCTTTCTCATTGGCCATCTGCAGGAGCTGGATCTCCTTGCGGGAGAAGAGGCGGATGGCGAATGCTTTCTCCAGCAGCTTCTCGGGGGATACAGTCTTGGCGATGTCTTTGACGAACATGCGGATGTCCTGCTTCACGCTGTCCGACTCCAGCGGCTGCCCGGCCCTCACCTTGTGGAAGAACTTGAGGATGGCCAGTGCCACACGGTACAGCACCTTGTAGCCCTCCACTAGGAAGACGTCAAAGACCCGGGCAAAGTAGCAGAGGGGCAGCTCCCCAAACAGCCAGCGCTGCCAGTCTGCATAGACCTGCAGGATGTCCTCAGACACGGCCACCATCAGTTTGTGGGCCGCCTGGCAGTACTTGTTCACCAGGTCCCCAAATGTCATGCAGGACGACTCGAAGGCCAGGAAGCTCTGGTCGATCAGCCTCCGGCCGGGATCATTGCAGGCCAGGATGCGGCAGGCCTTCTCGAAGCACTCGGCCTCGTCGATGCTGTAATGCAGCAGCAGGGCCACCACGGCCGGCAGGGCGGGGCAGAAGGAGATGTCCGGGAACTGGTTGGCGATGCACAGGAGGATCTTGCGCACGGCCCCCTCGCCGCGCGTGTTCAGGCAGTAGCTGGGCACCTGCGTGTTGTCCACAAACTCGGGCAGTGGCAGGCAGCTGCTGCTGTGCTTGCCCACGATCTTGCCCACGATATCGCTGTACACACTGGCGTCGGGCGTGACTGTGCGGCAGGGGATGTCCCGGATCAGGCGCTGGTACACCTTTCCCCGCAGAGCGTGGCTTTGGGCCCAGTAGCCCTGGCGTGCCAGCTGCTTCAGTTCCTGCAGATCGGTGCAGCTCAGCTCCTTGGGCCCCAGGTCCTGGATGGCAGCTTCCATCTTGTCTCTGTCCACGAAGCAGTTGTATCCTGGAGAGTCCATAGCGCCGCTGTGCTCAGAAGGACGCCCCGGGCTGCCAGGAGTGGGGCACAGAGGGGCTAACTCCTGCAGCCCCCTTTCCGTGGGTTTTCTGCTAACCTGTCTGCCATCTCACACCCTGCAGGATTAAAAACACATTTTTAGCATGTGTGTTTCAAGGTTCACATTTTAAAGAACATATTTTTTCGAATGTGGCATAGTTTTCTTTTGAGACAGGGTCTTGCTCTGTTGCCTAGGTCGGAGTGCGGTGCAGTGGCACAACCCTGCTCTCGGCAGCCATGAACGGCTTGAACAATCTTCCTGCCTCAGCCTCCCGAGTAGCTGGCACTACAGGTGTCCACCACCATGCCCAGATAATTTTTTTTTTTTTTTTTTGAGACTCACTCTGTTGCCTAGGCTGGAGTGCAGTGGCGCGATCTCCACTCACCGCAACCTCTGCCACCGCTCCTCGCCTCTGCCCTGTTAAAGTGATTCTCCTGACTCAGCCTCCTCCGTAGGTGGGACTACAGGCGTGCACCACCACACTGTCTAATTTTTTTGTATTTTTAGTAGAGACAGGGTTTCACCATGTTGGCCAGGCTGGTCTCAAACTTCTGACCTCAGGTGATCCACCTGCCTTGGCCTCCCAAAGTGTGGGATTACTGACGAGAGCCACCATGCCTGGCCTAATTTTTTAAGTTTCGTAGAAATGGGGGTCTCGCCGGGCGCGGTGGCTCAAGCCTGTAATCCCAGCACTTTGGGAGGCCGAGGCGGGTGGATCACGAGGTCAAGAGATCGAGACCATCCTGGTCAACATGGTGAAACCCCGTGTCTACTAAAAATACTAAAAATTAGCTGGGCATGGTGGCGCGTGCCTGTAATCCCAGCTACTCAGGAGGCTGAGGCAGGAGAATTGCCTGAACCCAGGAGGCGGAGGTTGCGGTGAGCCGAGATCGCGCCATTGCACTCCAGCCTGGGCAACAAGAGCGAAACTCCGTCTCAAAAAAAAAAAAAGAAAAAAAGAAATGGGGGTCTCACTATGTTATCCAGGCTGGTCTTTAACTCCTGGGCTCAAGAAATCCTCCTGCCTTGGCCTCCCAAAATGTTGGAATTACAGGCATGAGCCACTGTCCCAGGCCTTGTTTTGTTTTGTCTGAGACAGGTCTTACTCTGAAACCCAGGCTAGAGTGCAATGGTGCCATCTCAGCTCACTGCAACCTCTGCCTCCTGGGCTCAGGTGATCCTTCCACCTCAGCTGTAGCTGTAGCTTGGACTACAGTCAGGCACACACATCCAGCTAATTTTTTCTATTTTTAGTAGAGATGAGATTTTGCCATGTTGCCCAGACTGGTCTTGAACTCCTGATCTCAAGTAGTTCACCCACTGCATCCTCCCAAAGTGCTGGGATTACAGGTGTGAGCCACTGTGCTGGGCCCGGGCCTGTTTTGTTTTTTATTTATTTATTTTTTTTTAGAGATTGGGTCTTGCTCTGTTTCCCAGGTTGACCTTGAATCACAGGCCTCAAGTGATCTTCCCACCATGCTGGAATTATAAGTGAGTCACAGTGCCCAGTCACACTGTTTGGCTAAATCTCAGTGTAAGTATTAGAAGGGCTTCTACTTAAGTGATCGTTCTGAGGAGCCATTACAAACTTTGGAGTATAACTTCTTTTCACAGAATTCACGAAGTTACTAGATCACACAGATTCTGAGTAATGAGAGGCTAGAGATAGAGTTCCCAGAAGGGCTTTAAGAGCTTGGCCCCTGGCCGGACACAGAGGCTCATACCTATAATCCCAGCTACTCAGGAGGCCATGGTGGGAGAACTGGTTGAAGCCAGGAGTTCAAGACCAGCCTGGGCAACACGGTGAGACCCCCTCTCTACCAAAAAAAGAGACTGACCCTGCTGAAAACACCTCTCCACTCGAGCATGGTCCACCCTAGCCTCCCAAACACCACCCTGCACCCTGGGGGCCTTCTGAAAAGGAACCCCCAGTCGAGAAGATCCCTTTGAGCAAAGAGATGCTTTATTCCAGTTCTCTTTAACCAGCTGTGCATGGTGAGAAAGACGCATCCTATGCTGTCCCACCCTGTCTGGGCTGGGAATCTGAAGCCAGCTCTTAACTTTCTAAAACCACCAGCTTGAAAGCTACACTTCAGGCAGGTGCTCCAGGGAAGAATCTCTGGTGAGGGGCAGGTGGGTTTCCCAAGGCAGAGCTGGGACCTACATGGAAGGTGCTGCAGCTTTAAAACTGCGCATCTCTGGATCCAAATGAGCCAGAAGTCAAGTGGGGGTGTTGGTGCTCCTCCGAGAACAGCATCACTGGGCTCAGGCGAACACAGAAAGAGTGGGTAAGGTGTGCCCTGTGGGATTCTGGATGACAGGTGGCCGCTCTGACCCAAGGCTACCATCCTGGGCACAAAAGTTGCAAGGTTTGCTTATGTACATCAGACTAACCTTTCTTCCTGGGATGGTACAAGTTCCCAGAGATGCCACGGGGGTCTGCTTCAGCGAGTTCTGGATAGTGGCCAGACTACTCTGGTTTCTCCTGTAGCTAGAACATCTACCTATCCATTATAAGGCAAATACTACTTTAAAACATTTCGCAAAAAGTAAAAATCATAGTGTTGGCCGGGCGCGGTGGCTCAAGCCTGTAATCCCAGCACTTTGGGAGGCCGAGGCGGGTGGATCACAAGGTCAAGAGATCGAGACCATCCTGGTCAACATGGTGAAACCCCGTCTCTACTAAAAATACAAAAAATTAGCTGGGCATGGTGGCGCGTGCCTGTAATCCCAGCTACTCAGGAGGCTGAGGCAGGAGAATTGCCTGAACCCAGGAGGCGGAGGTTGCAGTGAGCTGAGATCCCGCCATTGCACTCCAGCCTGGGTAACAAGAGCGAAACTCCATCTCAAAAAAAAAAAAAAAAAAAAATCATAGTGTCAAACCTGCATCTGCAACACACCGTCTTGGGAAAGCACCTTGACACTGGGGTGTGTGTGTGTGTGTGTGTGTGTGTGTGGTAAAATACACATAACATAAAATTTATCATTTTAGCTTTTTTTTTTTTTTTTTTTTTTGAGACGGAGTGTCACATTGTCATCCGGGCTGGAGTGCAGTGGTGCGATCTCAGCTCACTGCAACCTCTGCCTCCCATGTACAAGCGATTCTCCTGCCTTTGCCTCCTGAGTAGCTGGGACTACAGGTGCCACCATGCCTGGCTAATTTTCTATATTTTTAGTGGAGACAGGGTTTCACTATTTTTGGTCAGCCTGGTCTTGAACCCCTCACCTCATGATCCGCCTGCCTTAGCCTCCCAAAGTGCTGGGATTACAGGCATGAGCCACCACGCCCAGCCCATTTTAGCCATTTTTAAGTCTACAGTTCAGTGGCATTAAGCACATTCACACTGTTGTGCAACCATCACCACCATCCAGTTCCAGACGTTTTTTCTTCTTCCCAAACTGAAACTCTGTATTGATTAAATACTATCTCCCTGTTCCTCTCCCCCAGCCTCTGGCAACCACCATTATATTTTTCTGTCTCTATCAAATTAGCTACTCTAAGTACCTCATAGAGGTGAATTTTTTTTTTCCCCCCGAGACAGGGTCTTGCTCTGTTGCCCAGGCTGGAGTGCAGTGGTAAAATCATGGCTCACTACAGCCTCTACCTCCTAGGCTCAAGAAATCCTCCTACCTCAGCCTTCCAAGTAGCTGGGACCACAGGCACACATCACGGCACGACGCTGCTGTGTGTATTTTTGGTAGAGATGTCTTGAACTCCTGAGCTCGAGTATTCCCCCCACTTGGCCTCCCAAAGTACTGGGACTACAGGTGTGAGCCACCATGCCTGGCTAATTCTTTTTTTTACAGTAATGATGAGGTCTTACTATGTGCCCAGGCTGGTCTCCAGCTCCTGGGCTCAAATGATGCTTCTGCCTCAGCCTCCCAAAATGCTAGGATTATAGGCATCAACCACCATACCTGGCAGTTTTGTTTTTAGAGACCGTGTCTCGCTATGTTGCCCAGGCTGGTCTTGAACTCCTGGCTTCCAGCAATCCTCCCACATCAACTTCTCAAGTAGCCAGAATTACAGACACAAGCCATCACACCCAGCCCTGTCCTTCCTTTTTTTTGAGATAGGGTCTTTGTTCTGTCACCCAGGCTGGAGTGCTGTGACACAGTCATAGTTCACTGCAGCCCCAAACTCCTGGGCTCAAGTGATTCTCCCGCCTCAGGCTCCAGAGTAGCTGGGACTACAGGCATGTACCACCAGGCCTCAAATAATTTTTTCAACATTTTTAAAACAGAGACAGAGTCTTGCTATAGAGATAGAGATCAAGACCAGTTGCCCAGGCTGGTCTTGAACTCCTAGGCTACAGCAATCCTCCCGTTTCAGCTTCCTAAAGTGCTGGGATTATAGGCGCGAGCCACTATGCCCAGCCTGTCCTTCCTTTTTTTTTTTTTTTTTTTTTCTTTTTGAGATGGAGTTTCGCTCTTGTTACCCAGGCTGGAGTGCAATGGCGCAATCTCGGCTCACCGCAACCTCCACCTCCTGGGTTCAGGCAATTCTCCTGCCTCAGCCTCCCGAGTAGCTGGGATTACAGGCACGAGCCATCATGCCCAGCTAATTTTTTGTATTTTTAGTAGAGACGGGGTTTCACCAAGTTGACCAGGATGGTCTCTATCTCTTGACCTCGTACCCGCCTCAGCCTCCCAAAGTGCTGGGATTACAGGCTTGAGCCACCGTGCCCGGCTGTCCTTCCTTTTTTTTAAGGCCAAATAACATTACATTGTAGGGACAGACCACATCTTGCTTATCCATTCATCTATGGACAGAGGTTGATGCCACCTCTTGGCTACTGTGAACCATGCTGCTATGAACGTGGGTATACAAATATCTGAGTCCCTGCTTTTGATTCTTTCAGGCACATATCCGTTGATACTGTTTTTATAGGAACTTCCCCACAGAAAACATTCATCGAAACAAAGTTTTGACAAAAACATTAAAGCCACATTGATTTTTTTTTTTTTTTTTTTTTGAGACGGAGTTTCACTCTTGTTGCCCAGGCTGGAGTGCGATGACACGATCTAGGCTCACTGCAACCTCCGCCTCCTGGGTTCAAGCGATTCTCCTGCCTCAGCCTCCAAGTAGCTAGGACTCTAGACATGTGCCACCACGCTCAGCTAAGTTTGTATTTTTAGTAGAGACGGAGTTTCTCCATGTTAGTCAGGTTGGTCTTGAGCTTCCAACCTCAGTTGATCCTCCTGCTTCAGCCTCCCAAAGTGTTGGGATTATAGATGTCAGCCACCAAAGTTGATTTTAATATATCCCACTGGAAAAGGCTTGCCCACAGCAGGACCAGGCCTCAGAAGACAGGAAACCCTTAAGATCGTTGATTGGTTTGCTTTGTCTGGGGAGGGAAAGCAGCAAGGGCTCTCCCCTCATCCTGAAGGCCAGGCCAATGGGTCCACTCACATCCACATGGCCACGCCCAGGTCACACTGTACAATCTTCCATGTGTTGGTTATCCACAGCTTACATCTCTCCTTCCCAGCTCTGGGCCCACTAACCTCTGGAGGAACCCCAGGCCCATCCTGTTTGGGTGAAGGAACTGGCTCCTTCTTGAGGCAATAAACATGTTTCTAAACAGAACAGGAGCTGGGCAGAGCAGCACCAGCCTCCACTCAGCTGGCCCCAGATGCAGGTTGAATATTAAACTGGAAACAGTAAAAGCTGTGACCGCACCTTACAAAGTTTTCTTGGAGATGCACAACCCAAGTTGTGTTTGCTGCCGCGAATGACCCAGGATGTGTTGGACTCGGGGACACTCGAGCCAAGGAAGTATGCAAAGTCCCTGAGGGAGCCCTTGGATTTTCTCTTGCTCCCCAAGCACCCACCCAAAAACAGAGTAGGATGTTTCTGGGGCTGTGCACACAAGGCAACAACCCATTTAAGGCATCTATAAGAACCAGGGCCAGGCCAGCACAATGGCTCAAACCTGTAATCCCAGCACTTTGGGAGACTGAGGTGGGACGATCACTTGAGTCAAGAGTTCAAGACAAGGCTGGACAACATAATGAGACTTCATCTCTACACACACATACACACACACACACACACACACACACACAGACACACACACACAAAGAAAGAAAAAGAAAGAAAAGAAAAGAAAATAGGCAGGCATGGTAGTATACACCTATAATCCCAGCTACTTGGGAGGTTGAGAGGGAAGGATCTTTTAAGGCCAAGCCCAAAAGTTCAAGAGTAGTCCATGCAACAAGGTAAAACCGCATCTCTGCAAAAAAAAAAAAAAAAAAAAAAAACAAAAACTAGCCAGGCATGGTGGTGCACACTTGTAGTCCCAGCTACTCAGGAGAGTGAGGTGGGAGGACCACCGGAGCCCAGGAGGTCAAGGTTGCAGTGAGCCATGATTGTACCACTGCACTCCAGCCTGCAGGACAGAATGAGACACTATCTCAAAAATTAATTAACAGGCCGGGCATGGTGGCTCATGTCTGTAATACTAGCATTTCGAGAGGCTGAGGTGGGCAGATCACTTGAGGACAGAAGTTGGAGACCAGCCTGGGCAACACAGTAAAATTAAAAACACAAAAATTAGCTGGTGTAGTGACATATGCCTGTAGGCTCAGCTACTCGGGAGGCTGAGGTGGGAGAATCACTTGAATCCGGGAGGCGGAAGTTACAGTGAGCTATGATCACACCACTGCACTCTAGCCTGGGTGACAGAGCAAGACTCTATCTGAAAACAAATAAATAAATAAAAATAAATACATAAATAAAAACGAGATCCAGATTGATTTCCTTAGGTTTAAAAAGTCTTTTATTATGCCAGTGATATATAAATGGAAAAATAACAGAAAGTCCAATAGTACCAAAATGAGAGGGTAAAAACATAGCGTTCTGGCCAGGCGTGGTGGCTCATGCCTGTAATCCCAGCACTTTGGGAGGCCGAGGTGGGTGGATCACGAGCTCAAGAGATCGAGACCATCCTGGTCAACATGGTGAAACCCCGTCTCTACTAAAAATACAAAAAATTAGCTGGGCATGGTAGCTCGTGCCTGTAATCCCAGCTACTCAGGAGGCAGAGGCAGGAGAATTGCCTGAACCCAGGAGGCGGATGTTGCGGTGAGCCGAGATCGCGCCATTGCACTCCAGCCTGGGTAACAAGAGCAAAACTCTGTCTCAAAAAAAAAAAAAAAAGCGTTCTGTTTAAATTACCCTCTAATTGTACTCCCCTTCTACGTAAAGAGAATCACCATTCACATTTTGGTATATATCCTGCCAAACCTTTTTCTTGCATTCACAGTGGAGTGAGGTTTTCTTTAAACTGGCAACTGAGATGAAGAAATAACGGGAGGTGGAAACTGATCAAAAACATAAAACACTCCGGGCTGGCACACTTATGGGTTTGAGTGCCCATACTCTGGAGGTGAGGGTTCACCGCTGAATGGCCTTCCCTGTCATCTACCCGAGGGCTGGCTGCTGTTGTATGTCATAAACCACACCTGCTCCCACGCAGCAAACAAGGCCTTGCCTGTCCCCATTGTCCCCCAACTCCTGAAAAAGTGTGGAGCCGGAGGCGGCGGCCAGGGAGAGGGAGGCGAGGAAGGGGCTACTGTGCAAACGGCCCGCAGGGTCCGGCTCTGACACCTGTTTGTTTGAAATGTGGACAAGCCTCGCATCTTCCCTAACCTGCAGTTACCGTGTCTGCAGAGTGGAGCTGATGAGTAACACCCACCTCCTCACTGGCATCCATTCCCAAGCAACCTCTGTGGGTTGAGTGTCACTCTGGACTCACTAGGTGGAGTGCAGATGACATTAGGATAACACCCCACAAAAAGCATATCCCACACTGTCTCTGGGTTCAGGCAGCCCAGGGCAGACAGTGCCAGCAGGGCCCTGTGGGGGTGCGTCCCTCGGTGGGGGAAAGCCACTTTCTCTTGGCCTCTGAGGAGTGAGGGCATCGCTTCTCGCCACCAACACTGCATTGCCCTTACCTAAATGGTGCTTCCCCCACCAGCCTCGAGTTCCCTGCACAGGCACGGGGCGGGGTGGCATTGCTTCTCCGAAGTGGCACCTGTCAGCCCAGCTACCAGCAGCTCCCTGAGTATGGAGTGGGAAAGCACTCCTCCTGTCTTTGGGACCAGCCTGCAATTCCAGGAAAAGAGGAAAAATTTCACCTGACACACGCGAGAGTCACAAGAATTACAGAGACAGTTTCAGAGGGTGGGGGTCCACACAGTGGGTCTGGAGGGTGACAGCTAATTTATCAAGGGTCCTGAGGGTAGACCTCCCCCAAGAGATGACACTGAGTCAGAGCATCGAGAAGGAAGAAGCTGGAATTGCGGAGGACGAAGCGCTCCAGACCAGCAGCGTAGGTGCAAAGGCCGAGGGAGCAGCAGGCCCGCCGTGCTGCAGCACGCAGGGGGCAGCACAGACACACCCACGGGCCCGTGGATTACATTCTAAGCACAGTGGGAAACTGGGAAGGGATAGGATCCAGTCCCTGTTCTACTTCGGGATTTACTGAGTCTGTTGATAGAAAGCGCTCAGCCCAGCCCGGCCAGCCAGGGCCGCTCAGCTGCCTGAGGACTGTCTCATCCTTACAGGGTCCCAGGCCTGGCACTAGGAAGGTGCTCTGGAACGCCTGGGGCGTAACGGTCCCAGCAGGTCAATGGCCAGTCGGTCCTGCAGAGGAAGGTTCAACTGCATGGGCCAGGGGGCGGCTCTCTCACAGGTGCTGCCCCATCCTAATGCTTCTCTCCACAGCCAAGCTGCCTTCCACACCCGGTGCAGCTTCTTTTCTACCCAGGAAGCCCCTCCAGGGACCTACACGGCCTTTCCTCATAAATGCCATGCCTACCTGAGAGCTCAGGGTACCTGTAGATGAGAAGCTAATATTTGTATTCATTCATTCATTCATTTACTTTATTTTTTCGAGACACAGTCTTGCTCTGTCACCCAGGCTGGAGTGTAGTGACGTGATTTCAGCTCACTGTAATCTCTCCCTCCCCAGTTCAAGTGATTCTCCTGCCTCAGCCTCCAGAGTGGCTGGGATTACAGGCACCTACCACCATGCCCGGCTAACATTTATGTTATTAGTGGAGACGGGGTTTCACCATGTTGGCCAAGCTGGTCTCGAGCTCATCCGCCTGCCCTGACTTTCCAAAGTACTGCGATTATAGGTGTGAGTCACCACACCCAGCCTCATTCATTTATTTTGAGACAGGGTCTCACTCTGTTCCCACAAATATGTCTTTAAAAAAAACAAAAAGTTGGCTGGGTGCAGTGGCTCATGCCTGTAATCCCAGCACTTTGGGAGGCCGAGGTGGGAGGATCACTTGAGGTCAGGAGTTTGAGACCAGCCTGGCTAACACGGTGAAATCCTGTCTCTACCAAAAATAGAAAAAAATTAGCCGGGCATGGTGGCGCATGTCTATAGTCCCAGCTACTTGGGAGGCTGAGGCAGGAGAATTGCTTGAACCAGAGAGGTAGAGGTTGCAGTAAGCCGAGACTGTGCCACTGCACTCCAGCCTGGGTGACAGAGTGAGACTCCATCTCAGAAAAGCAAAAAAAGGCACTGCTGGGACCCGGGAAAGCTGCTGGGATCATGAGGGGGTGAGGGTCTGCAAGCCTGTAGCCATTTAAGGGGCCCCTCCTCACATGTGGCAGAGCTAGGGCTGTGCCCTGTGGCCAGAGGGCACAGTGGTCATATACGTCACCTGACATACCAAGTTAACATTTTGGGGAAATAGAAATCACTCATACTCATTTGCACATAGCATTTAAAACAAATAAACAAACAAACAAAACGGAGTTTTGCTCTTGTTGCCCAGGCTGGAGTGCAATGGCATGATTTTGGCTCACCACAACCTCCACCTCTTGGGTTTAAGCAATTCTCCTGCCTCAGCCTCCTGAGTAGCTGGGATTACAGGTGCCTACCACGTGCTGACCGGTGTTCAGCCAGGAACACCCAACAGCAGCCTATGTCCTCACTCCACGGGAGCCCCAATAACACCCCAAATCCATCCTCCACAGCAAACCCTCTGGAGGTGCCCACAGGAAGAGGGAGGCAGCCAGGAGATGGGTAGGGGCATCTGTCAAGGGCATGGCACCATGAGCTAATTTCTAGCCAGGAGGCAGATGGGAGTGAGCATGGATGCGGAAGGAGGTGAAGCCTCACCGTGAACAGAGGGGCAAGAGGGGCCCCAATGGGCAGCTGGCCCCTACCCTGCAACAGACCAGTACCTCACCCCAGCCTCAGGGAACACAACCCCACAGCTGCTGGCTACTGGCAACTTAACTTTCTGCTCATCTCCCTTTACCCTGGTACAAACAGGACCTCTGAGAGAGTCTCTAGAGGGTCCCCGAGCACAGGCAGGACTCTTCCAGGTCTGGGACTCCAGAGCACTTGGCCATTTCTAGTGCCCAGGGCCCTCCCACAAGTCCTGGAGACAAAGGCCACCCTGGGGCGGCTCCTGCTAGCAACACCACCTGCCGTCCCCAAACACCAAACTCCAGGCCTGAGCGCCTGAGTCACGAGGCCTCTGCATGTCTCACTTTGGGAGGAATGTGATTTTCTCAAACAACTGGATTAGAAAACAAACTCTGTTTCATGTGACAAAAACAGAACACACATTTAGCCTCAGTGATGACATTTTAACATTGCCAATGCCAATCCTGGACACCGGGCCTCCCTTCCTGGGGACCGCTCCTGTCCTGGGTCACAGGAAACGGGAGGAGGCAGCACATGACCGAGGCTCCCTCATCCTGCAGGTCGTCATGGGACAAACCTCCACTGAGGTGCCTCCTCTGTGCCAGGAAGAGATGGCTTGAGAGGAGGCTGTCAACCTCGGCAGCTCAGGATGTGCTAGGGCAGGCGTCCCCAAACTACGGCCCACGGGGCGCATGAGGCCCCCTGAGGCCATTTATCCGGCCCCCTGCCACACTTCAGGAAGGGGCACCCCTTTCATTGGTGGTCAGTGAGAGGAGCACAGTATGTGGCGGCCCTCCAACGGTCTGAGGGACAGTGAACTGGCCCCCTGTGTAAAAAGTTTGGGGCTGGGCGCAGTGGCTTAAGCCTGTAATCCCAGCACTTTGGGAGGCTGAGGCGGGTGGATCACGAGGTCGAGAGATCGAAACCATCCTGGTCAACATGGTGAATCCCCGTCTGTACTAAAAATACAAAAAAATTAGCTGGGCATGGTGGCGCGTGCTTGTAATCCCAGCTACTTAGGAGGCTGAGGCAGGAGAATTGCCTGAGCCCAGGAGGCGGAGGTTGCAGTGAGCTGAGATGGCGCCATTGCACTCCAGCCTGGGTCACAAGAGCGAAACTCCGTCTCAAAAAAAAAAAAAAAAAAAGTTTGGGGACGCCTGTGCTAGGGGAACCCCAAGGTCAGGGCTGCAAAAGGGGCGGAAAGGTGTGGAGGCAGCCTGTGGGTGGAGATGGTGCCCCTCACACCCAGAGGCAAGACTGGACAAAGGCAAACCGGGCCATCCTGGCAGTGCTGAGGGGCTGGGTGGGCTCAGAGGTGAGTGTCCCCACACGGGGTAGGATGAGAGTCTAGGTGGGTGACCAGCTAACATCTGTGTTTACAGAAATCTCCCCTGATGGCCCTGGAGAAGGAAGGGTTGGGACAGAGAAGCCAGGGAGAAAGGAAGGCAGAGTCTAGACCCAGAGGGTGGAGAAGACTGGGGGAGCCCAGGCCACTGGGGATGCTGGAGGCAGGGGCGAGCGATGAGCAGGGAATTCCAGCCCAGGAAAGCCCCACTGTGAAGTTTTCAGAGCCAGTTCTGATACAGATGGTTCTTAGACAAATTCCAGAGGAGCGCAGGCTGGAGGCAGAGCCCTGGGGGCCAGGCCCACAGCAGAGAGTACCCTGTGCACTCCCAGATGCTACCAAGGGGCCAACTGTAGCCCCCTGGGCAAAAGTTAGCCCCGTCCCAAGGTAAGTCAGCGTTGGCTAGGACTCCAGGTTGAAAAGCTGGGGTTGCAGGCCTGGGCCCTATCCCGCCTGGCCTGACCACCACACCCATCCTGGCCACAGGATCAGCCCCCATCCCAGAAGCAGCTGACAAGGACCAGGGGTTCTGTCTGGCTGAGCCTCAGTCACAGGGCTGCAGAACAGGGCATGGGCATCAGCTGTGTTCTTCTCAGTTCTTCCTGTCTGCTCTGAGCAATCCCTCATCCTTTCCTGGGAGTGGGACGGGAATGAAGAGGAAGAGGAAATGAGGCCGGGCTCCGTGTGTGGGGAAGCCAGTGTCAGCAGCCAGGGACAACAGGAAGGAGGCGCTCTGGCCCCTGTGGGTTTCCCACGTTAGGAGATGCACACTCCTCTCCGTGGGCTTCCCTGGCAGAATCCAAAACACTCTCACTCCTGGACCTAGCTAAGTGCTGCGGGAATAAGGCGGAAACCTGCCATGGGCTAGGAAGGCCAGCAGGCCCCACCGGCTCCTGAGCACAGACCACACCTGCCAGGCAGCCCCAGGGATGAGAGCTGACGGGGAAGCTCAGAGTGCCCGGAATCCATGGGGCAGGGGGAGCGGTGGGTCAGGTGGGAATGGTAGGGGCAGTGTCGGGGTGGCTGAGAGAGCTGAGCTCCAGGGTGTCTGGACTGTTTGGAATAACTCTCAAACCATGTTTTCCTCTGCTCTGACACCAGCACAGCCATCGGCACAGGCTCTCAGACCCAGAAAATGCAGGGGTTCCTCCACACAGCGGGAAATCCGTTCTACAGCGGGCGCTAGCGGGGCATCCTCCGATTCAATCCCGAACCCTGGAGACACCTACCCGGAGAGAGCTCAGATCCCACAGGTCAGGAGCTCAGTCCCCAAGCCCCCCACGTCCCCAGACACCAGTCAGAAATCCAGGCCTCTGGAACGTCTGAGGGACCAACTTCAAGTTGAGGTTCCCACAATCCCTGTTTCAGGTTCAACTAATTTGCTGGAGCAGCTCACAGAACTCAGAAATACTTACATTCACTAGTTTAATAAAAAGGTTGTTACAAAGGACAGAGACCAGGGGACCTTTAGGGTGAGGTACGGGAGAGGGACATGGTGCTGCCCTCCAGGCAGCCCTCCTGTTCAGCTGTCCAGAAACTCCGCAAGTCCTGTCCTCTAGGGTTTATGTGGAGGCTTCATTAAGTAGG